CCCACAGAGAGGGGGAACACAGAGGCTACAACTCCTGTTCTGCTGCTTCAGTTTGGCTCCTGCAAGGAGTTAGGTCCCCTCAGAGACCGAGCCCACAACCCACTCATTCCCTTACACGCCTGCAGCACTCCTTCCACTGTCACACCTCCGTGGTTTTGTTTGGGAGTTAGAACCCTGACAGCCCCCTGTGTGTTATTCTTGCCCCAAGAACTAAGTTAACTGTTTGTTCCTAATGAGTATCAGGGTAATCAGGGTATTTAGAGGAAACATGGATCTAGCAAAACCTAATATATTTTATAGAAATGCTTCAGTGTGGATTGAACTCCTGCTGTGGTGTGTATGCTGCAGACCATACACATGTGGTATGGGAGCTACCTACCCTCACCTCCCACGTGTGTGTAAGAACAAGCAGGGGATGGCCAAGTCCCAGTGCTATGGAGGACATGAGAAAGTGTCTCAGAGCAGCCCCAGCTGCCCATGGTAGAAAGCAGAAACATGGCTCTGGCAACCCCTGGGACCACTTGTTTCCTGATCCTGATGTTTGGTGAGACATAATTGCCATAGAGTATTTGAATATACCAATTTGCTTTAAATACATTGCAAAAAGCCCTCTGAAACAACCTTAGAAGTTTGCAGACCAGAAAACTGTAAAAACTAAATCCGTCAGGCAGTAAAAGAAATTACAATTCTGACTCCATATCCTGAACATTCCCATCTGAGCCCTACACAAAGTTATGCAAACACTTGGGACCAAAAACGAGGATCCAGTAAAGATTTATGTCCACAGGGAAACATTATTTCTGGTCCTTGACAGTACTGAGCTTTATACAGTATTCCACAAATAAATCATATGTGCTGCTTCTGGACCACAGTTGTCAACCTTGGCTGCAGGAATAGGCAGGGCACAAAAGCAGGAATTAAGCCCCCGGAATAAAACAAAACAGCGTGGGGGGTGGTGGTGGTGTTTGTTAACTGGTTTGTATTTGCTTCAGCATCAGTTGGGAGAACAATATACTCACATTAAGATAAAAAAAAAAAAAGGTAATAAATCTCTTCTCCCAGATTACACAGGAATGTTATATATTGCTTCCATACGATCAGTGATTCTAATTAAGCTTCCAGTCTGGAAATCTGTTGTGACCACAGCTTTTGCAACCTATTCTGTACTCTTTTGAAAAAAGAAAAGAGATGACAACATTTTGTGGCACTATTTTAAAATGTTTCTGTCTTTTCAAGTTTGTCCTCACATAGTACAAAAGAGATTTCTGTTAATTAGAATGAAGATAAATGAAGTGAAAAGGGCTATGAAGGATATTATTCATGTTTAACAAAATTAAAATCTGTTGTTCTGATTTCATCTGTATTAACATTTTATGAGTTTTGGGGTTTGGTTTGGTTTTGCTATTTTGGGGGTTAAAAAAACCCAACCAAACACAAAAAACCCCAATCAAACAAACAAACAAAAAAAACCAGTCCACAACTCTGTCTTGTTTAAATTGACTGTGCTTGGAGGAGTACTGGGTGAGCCCAGAACAACTTTGCAGTGTGTCATCAAAGAGTTTAGCACAAGAATTAATGCTGTAGAGACCCAGTAAGACAGAGAGAGTTCTGGTACAATATCTGCTGCCCTTGGTATGTGGCAGATATGTTGTTTGTGTCACTTCCTGAAGGTTTTTCTGTATGAATTGCTTCGTGAAATCAGAAACATATATGTTGGAACCAATTAGCTTAATTGTATCTTGTCAGCAAGCACTGGTTAGCACAGACATCTGTAACACACTACAGTATTGCCATTTTAAAACATGTCTTAGATAAAATCCTAGCCTGCTGAAGCCAATGAGTTGTGCATTTCTCAGGAACGAGACTTCACATACCAAATTCCAAACTTATCAGGCATAGAGCCATAAGAGATAAGGGAAAAATAGGGAGTCCTGCTGTAATTTTCCAAATCCTTGGGGCTTTGCTTTCACCAGATGGGACAGTGCTGTTGGTGGAGGGCTGTGAGGGGCTAAACCCTCCATGTGTTGAACTGCAGTGGCTTTTCTTCCAAAGCACAGAGCCAGAGGGGCCCTTTGCACAGCAGGACATCCCAAACCCTCGGTACACATGTGACAATTCCAGGCAAACAGGCCTAAGCTTCCTTACCCAGGCCAATTACTTAATGAAAACTACACAGCTTATCGTCACCACGGTCCCTTGAGAGCCAGGCAGGCTTTTCATGTGCCTAATCCCTCCTGTGCTCAACTTCAGAACACGTATAACACATTTAATGAAGCTTGAAGCTGTATCTGTTCTATGTGTAACATTTATATAGCACTGGAAGGACAGAATCACAATGTATTTGCAGTACAGATTTTCCTCTTGCTGCATTTTTACCTAATTGGAAGCAATAAAACATGAGGATAGGGTCTTTATCTGGACCAAACACAAAGTAAACTCCACCAAGTTCAATCTAAACACAAAAATCTCTTTTCACAATCATCAAGAATGTGTTTGAAAGAATGTCAAACAGATGCCCCAAGAAAATTACTTCCCCTGCCTCTTTTCTCATCCCAAACCCTTATTATTACTTTTTGATTGATTTTTCTTGGCTCTTACACTCTCTCATGCTGATCTTCTTAGGTGGGCTCTATAGAACCTTCCCAGCTTTCTTTTATCCCTCTAGTCTTCCTGCCAGTAAATTACTCTACTTTTATGAAAGATTTCTTTTTTATTTCATAACCATTTTCTCTTGATCCAAAATGAACTATAACTCAGTGGTTGGGTGCTTTGTTTTTTAATGCAACACTTGGTCTGCCAAACGCCTTAAAAATGTATTTCAGCTTCTCTGTTTATTTGAAAGCTGCTTCTTCCAAGAAGACTAAGAATAATGTGGTTACCATAGTTTCCTTATCCACCACCAATAAAATGCAACTTGGAATACAATAAAACAAAGACAAGACTACTCAAGATGTGAGTGAATGACTGACCACCAAAATCTTCACCCCACATCACTCCCAGCACTAGAGAAAATACTCCAGACTCATCAATACCCAGCTTTTGGTCCAGCAGGGAAGATGAGGATAAGCCTGTCTGACTACCAGCTATTTGAGATATTTCAATTCCAACACTTAAGATGTCTGTTCCTGTAAAATTCCTGCCTCACAGATTTAGTGTTTTGCTGCAGAGTTTTTGTATTTTACTGTAATCTCTTGTTCTGGGAAGCAACTGTGTAGGCAGCACTTTGCTAAGGCTCACTGAAGTTAAGTGATGGATTAATTACCCATAGGAACCAGTCAGCAAAGTAAATAATGTACTGTTTGTTCTTACAGTTTTGTTGGCTCCTGAACAGGCAAGATTCTAGGGAACAAGCCAAAAATAATCCTTTTTCTTTCAGTCAACTGGCCAACAAAACCCCACATATGCTTCAAAGATTATACAAATTACACCTGCTTTGGACACATCCATTTGCCTTCCTGATTAAAAGTGATGGAATTTTACTCTAATAAAATGAACTTCCAAGAAAAGAAAGAAAAACAATTGTTCTCAATAATGATGAATAATGAAACAGAAAAGCACCCACATGCATGATGGATATACAGACCTGCTGACAAGCTTATTTTTTTCCTGATTTTAAAGAGTTGTGAAGATTTTCTTCAAAGAAAGTAAGATGTTTTGCCTTTTCCTTTAAAAGAAAACAATACAAAACCCTAGAGGATATTCCATTTGGTGAGACACAGTAACAAGACTTACCAAGGCAAGCACTTGAATGGGAGGGATGCAGAATCCTCTTCCCACACCCTCAGTGTGCACGATGGGACTGACTCCTGTGGTACCTGGCACTCTCTCACAAACACACCAGGCAAATGTGGGAGGAAGCAGCTCAAGATTTTCTGGTGTTCTACTCATATTTGCTTGACAGGGACAACAGTCCAAGACAGTTAAGGTAAAATCAAAAAGCTCTGCCATGGATATAAGCAATAGGGGAAGAAAATAAAGTAACTCCCTTCCTTACCCCAGGCACCCAGGGCTGTAGGTAGGGATTCTGAGCACTAGGAGCTGGAAAACTGCTGGAAGAGTATTTGCTTTTGCTGTTTTTGAAGAAAAGCTGTTATCCTCACTGTGCAGCTTTCTGGAGCTTTTTCCAGCCCCCAGAAGCTGCATCCAAAATCATCACTGGGTGCATCGAACATATACACAGAGCCTCAGTCCACATAATTTCAGTTGTAGTTTAGCCACAAGACAATATAATACATCTTTTATTCTTGCCTTCTTACCTTGGGAAGGTTGTGCAAAGGTAACAGAGAGAAAGAAGTTGTAGGAGTGCAAGAGATCACTCATATGGTGAACATGCTCCACTCTTTCAATGCAAATTCACCTCACTGAAAAACCATTCTGTGTATAAGGGGCTGCCAGTTCTAATGCATATGAAAAAAAAGGGTATTTTTGCAGAAAAAAATCTTAGATCCTGTTAGTATGTTGCTCATTGCATCAGTTAAACCAAGTAGCACATTTTTAAATTGCTGATGTCAAGTGAATCATTGTCAGCACTACAAAAGAAAATAGCTAAAAGCAGCAACTAAAAAGGCAGGGCTTTCACATCCCTGGAGTGAATTTACTGGGGAACAGGAAAAAGCAGTGAAGACCAAGCCTATATTAAACTTGGCCCCCTTCTTACCAACCAGTAAAGAACAACGTAGACCAGGGTTTTTTTCAACATTTCCCTTATGCCTTCCGTGCACAACATTCCAAGTGTCACACCAGCCCTGGCCGGGCTGCTCATCAGTGGTTTAAAACTTCTCATCCAAAAACACCCAAGAGGAGAGTCACCTGTGGCCCTCCTTTCCCTCAGGAAGAGCACCCCGATGGAAGGCACAGACCCTGTTCTACCCAGATGTAAGTGGTTCCCACAGTAAATGGCACTGTGCCATTACCAGTCAGGCTGTTGACCTGTCATGTGGTAACACCAAGAACCGGCATCCATCCTCGTCCTGCCTGGGAGAAGCCCCGCAGCACCGTACCTCGTTGATGGCCAGCTGCTCCCCGCCGCCCCCGGGGTGGCCGTAGCGGTGGTTGGAGCTCCGGAAATCCTCATACAGGTCCTCCTCGCTTCCCACATCGTCCGTCAGAGCCGTTTTATCCAGGGCCCCGTCAGCGATCACTGCAACAACAACATGGACACGTTGGTGTGGAGCACAAGACCCCCAGCAGCACTGCCCCAGTGGTGGGAGCTTATTGGGGTGAGGGGCACTGTGACACAGCACAGGGGGGAAAAAGACAAGGAAACCATATCAATAATTTCAGGGCACAATTCCAGCCCCGTGCATTCCCCCTTTTTCCCAAGAATTTTTCTCCATTCGTGTTTTGTTACCATAAATGGTTGCATCTTTTTGTAGAGTGGAGAGTGTGATTTAAAATAATTCAACAACTGTTGCGTGTTGCAAAGAAAAGATTGAGGAAGACTAAGAAAACAGGGTCTGAAAAAAGGCACAGGGCAATGATGCCACAAATGTGATTTCATTAGGACACTGGTGTGTTGACAGGAAACTTGACTAGGTAACAAACTCGTGTCTGCCACTTCATACGGTGAGGATTATGATTTACCAAATCTCATCAGGCCAAAGAAGCTCTCACCCTTTGGGAAAAATATTCATGCATTTATGTTGCCTAAAGGGTGTTTGCTCCAGAATTATCCACTGTTACCACAGGAGGGCCATTCTGCTCAGCACAGCCCCGAACAAGCTACAGATAATGGAGGGTTCACGATCTGTAGCTAGAACAAGCATTGAAGTCTCAAGATATAAGTACAAGCCTGAGAGATGTAAAATTATGGCATTTATGCTCCTTGAACAGAAGAAAATGGCACTTCATCTGTTGCACAGCCAGGAACTTTTTCCTGAAGTCTCCTCAAGGTATTAGCAAATACCCTTCAGTGTTATGTAGACCAATCATTCTTCCCATCCCTGGGCAGGTAACTGAGCATAAACTTTCTGTTCTCAAAATCTGAAAAATGTCAGTGATTAAAGAAAACATTTGCTGACATTCATCTGGATTAGGAACTGCTGGGGCAACAGTTTCCATGACAAAGATTGAAGATGAAGTGAAAACAGATGTTGTTATCAGCACTCCTGATGACAGTCTTTGCTGTCCAAGTTACACATTATGTCACACTCAAAATTCTTGCAGAACAGGTGGAAAAAACCACTTTGAGCTTGACCTTGTAGAGCTTGGATAGGAAAAGCACTAGTCAGAGTCTGGGGACACACAAACCTGCTCTTGAGCCCTAATTTTGTTCCACAGTGCAAGTGCATTTCTTGAACCTAATTGTGCCAATGGGCCAAAAAAAAGGGGGGTAATGATTCATTAGCTTATTATTACCTGAAAGCAAAGCTCCTCAGTAATACAGAATAAACTGCTCTCAGAGGTTACAGCCAGACCTGCTAAGCTCATTCTCATCAAAGCTTTCAGTACATGGGATGGGTTGCTAAGGCTGTGCCATCCAACTACTTGTAATAACAGTGAGGTGTAAATTCAGTGTAGCAGCTCTCAGTTCAGTGCAGTAACTTGACATCAAAATGATGAGTATGAGCTATTTTTAAACTAAATACTTGCCTATTTATGTTTTGAATTCAGTAAATACACACAACACAGCAAAGATGGATTCATTGTCTAAACCTGGAACTCCACTCACTGTTGATGGCAGTTCAGGACATGGAGGTGCATATGAGCTTATGATTAAAGCAGAATTTTCTGTGCAAGTGTGGAACTACCCAACCATTCAACTTTAAGTGACATTTCACAAAAAAATGAAGCATTCTCCTAGCTTTGCTCTGACACATCACATCATTCATTATACAGAAGTTCTGTACTGAATATGTGCCAGTAGTATAGATTGCATATAAAGCAGTTCTGGGGCTAAGACCAGGTCCATTAATATAAAACTCAAAACCAGCTGAAATGCCACTGATATTATAATTTTACGCAGAGTTACCATGGTTTGCACTTAAATTTATGTTTTTAAAGACCATTGAAGTATCACTTTTTCCTCATACACTGTCTAAAAAACATTTGTCTGATAGTAATGAACAAATTTCAGTGTGTTAGTGCAGCAAGAGAAACAAATGAGAAATGTTTTTCAAAAACAAATAAAAATAAATCATTTATAAGAAGGAAGTCAGCAGTCACTTAATTCAAAACTTCCTTTGCAATCTTCTGGTCTCATGCTTTTCCCTTATTTTACACATGGCTTCATTACTTTTGCCTTATGCATCTTTTGCTATTTTCACTGCTAACAGTAATTCTCAGCTTGAAAAATGTTCATTGACGTCTTTAAAGCTTTTTTTGTTTTTTGCCCCCACATTTTCCTATTTGTTCTCTGGTCAGTGCTTAGATGAAAAAGCAAAAGCTCCAGGGAGATATTTATCTGTGTTACTTAAAATGCTGTATACCTCTGCTAAGTGCCTTGAAAGCTGTGCCTGCTTTTACCAGAGATCTGTTTTTCTTCTCTGATCTTACCAAGCTCATCAATTCTCTGCAGTCTCAAAACCTGCTACTGCATTTAGGATTAGTTTTCCTGACAGAAAAGTCCTGATGGACATACTGCACCAAAAACACAGTTCACAGGCAGGAGGAAGCTCTCAAACCTTGAAGCAGAGTGGCCCGAGGTAGCCATTACACATTTTCCCAAACTAACTAATGCTGCAGGGAAGAATTAAACTAGTGAAAAATAAGAATTTGTCCTGTAGCAGCTTACATGAAAGACATGACCACAGAGAAATAAATAAATAAAACAGTAGTCTGGAATGGTGACCCAATGCACTAGAAAACCATCAAGGAACTAGGAGAATGAAGGCTTTTAACATAGGTACTGACTTAACATGCACAGCATAAACTAGGTCAAGTAGAAGAGAAGCAAGCACTATACAAAAATCTCAAAAGACAAGTTAGCAGAGATTTCTGAAACAGTCTATCAGCTTCCTCAAGAGCACAGCACTGGGTGGACAGGCTGCTATTAAACTGCACAGCAGCTGACCCTGATGCCTCATTCCTTCCCCATCTCTGTTTAACACTGAAATCCATTGGTACAGTCACATCTGGCCTCTCCATGTCCCTCTCAAACTGCTCTGACCTGTCCCTGCCAATCAGGCAACACCAAGGAACAATGTTCTGTCAAAAAGTAAAGCCATGTATCAATCAGCTCAGGCAGACTTCTCCATATTTCATACCTCTGTCCTGATAGATTTCACTGTGGCAACAAATTCCATAGACAGGAGCAGAAGGAAGGCACATCACTAACATTTAGTACAACAACCTTCTGTACAAGTATTAAAACTCTGCTTTATACTGTTGTTAGTCCAAGTCCAAGCTCAGGATTTATGTCATTACACTACAAAAGCAGATGGATAATTCTAGCAATAGCGGCCCCTGAAAGAATGCCACATGAACCCTTTTTTATGCATCCATACAGATAATAAGGTGTCAAGAACTGACTCCATGAAGAAATATCTTGAGGTATGAAGCAGCAAAACTCATACAAAACATGGCACTGAAACCAGCACCTGGCCCTGGTGGTCTGAGTCCAAGTGCCTGAGCAGACAGCACTTAGGCTACGTGCAAGGACAGTCACAAAAACAAAAGGGAAGAGCTCTATACAAATTTAATGAAGCTTGATCAAGGTGTCCAGGAGAAGGAGGTGTATGGGTTCACCCTGACACCTTCCTGCAGGCTTTGGGATGCAGGTATAAGCAGGCAGCAGTGGGAAGGTTCCTGGCGGGGCTCAGCTTGTGCCCCCACCTTGCTGAAAGGTGGTGCCAAGCAACTCTAAAAGAATAGGTACAGAGCTCTCCATCCCATCAGAAAGCCACTGGAGCTGTTACCAGCTCTGTGGTTTCACACAGAACAGCACTCTGTGCCCGCAGTGAGGGACAAGCCACAGCTGTACAACTCATTGCCACCCCAGCCAGTGGCCTGCAGCTGCACCCTGCTTAGAGGTACGCTGGGATAATTCAAGGGCAGCTGCCTGTACAGTAGGATTTTTACTCTTGGGAGCCACAATAAAGCCTCTCTGACACTGGGGAGCAAAACATCTGGGCTATGCTGGGACAGCCTCAATCTTCATGACCAACAGAGATGGCAGGGAGGGGAAAGAAGGGAGAAGAGGTTTTGTGTTGTTCGTCAAACTGGTGGGAAGCCAAAAGAAGTTGGGATTAGATGTTCTACTGAAGGTCTCAGAAAACAAGTGTTAACCATAGTCCAGAGTTCAGTTAAGACTAGTGTCACCTACTACAGGTTTGATATGTCTGTGCTCCTCTCTCAAAGGATGGACCTGCTTCATACATTCCAAATGCCAGGAATTAGTGAACACAAGTTGCTGTTGAAAAAAAGCCAACCAACAAACCAAACCAAAATAACCTCCAAGCCCCCCCTACAGCTACATCCACCAAAAAAAAAAAAGTTAAAGAAAAGTGTTCTGCAGAAGCACAGAATAAATTTCTAGACCAGTTTCCTCAGAGGAGCTGGACACTACAGTCCCAGACTTTTAACAGAGCTCTCTCAAAGTCACAGAGGTTTCTGTCTCAGCTGGAATAAACCCCGGCAGCTCCCCGCTGGCGAGGAGCTCCAGACGTGTCTGGGTCAGAAGCCTGACCCAGGACTGAAGGAAAATGGGCTAGAGGCATTTTCCTAAAATGTTGCTTATCTGTTTTCATTTGACTTACAGTTTACAGCTTTTAGGGGTAAGGAACCCCTGATGATTAGGGACAGCTTGAAAAGCCAAGAGCATTTGTAGTTTATTAAAAGCACATTATATTGACAAGAGGAACAACTTTTGTGTATTTGAATTATCTCTTTCAAGTGTGTTTTTTTCAGTACCACATCCACCCATTTCATTTGTCTCTGTAGCATTTACATTTAGATAATTCAGCAAAATAATAGTGGGAGCCTGATTTACACTCACAGAGCAAATTAATTCAGAGCTAACAACATCATCCCCTCTGCCTCAGTGAGCACAGATTGCTGTGGTTGTGTGCAGCGCCCACAGGAAAGCGCAGTGCAGCTGCTCAAGGAAGTACTTCAGGAGACTGAAGATGATAAACAAGTAAAGGGAGTGTGTGGGGTGGGGAACCAAACCCAGACTACATTGCCATGTGAAAAGGGCCCCTC